GTCATCTTTGATAATGGCTTATGTAAGCCGAAAGCTTAGATAGGATTTAAACATGTATCAATATGGTGATTTCCTTTCGTCCTTCTAGGATAATGTTATTAAGCTTATCAGACAATATGAAAGGAACTTACTTAAGATAAATAGACAAAACTTGTCTATATTATTTAACGAAACATGCATCAGTATATCCACACACACACACTAACACACACACACACATATATATATGTATACACATACATATATACATATTAGAGACGTTTGGGTTCGTCGGGTTTTAAATGAACCACCTACAAGTAGGTCTTTGTTTCTCTACTCGCAAGAATACAGCATTGGGCTATTATTGTCTTTGCAATGATCGGTGATGTAACATATGGTCTTGATCTTAGATCTACAGTTCGGAGCTGCGAGAGTATTGCACTCTCAATGTTCACATCAACTTTATTTGCTGTTTCTAGATGTTTCGCCGATGTATATTAATGAGCATTATGTGCAGTCTATTTTGTTTATTCTTTCCTCTTTTCTGCTGTTGCCAAACGCAAAGCCTACAAAAATCGAGAAGAGAAAAATACTAGAATCAGCAAATAATAATTCCGACAGCCATAATAAAATTAAACACATAATCTCACTTCCCAACTTCATAGCGGTCACCATCGAACAAAAGCCTTCGCATGAAATTCATCAAATACCACCTCTAATGTTACGTGTCTTAAAACTTTAGATGAACGCGTTTTCTCTCCTTGAATTCAAAGCACCATAAATTATACAAACGTTTATTTAACAAGTCGAATGCACATGAAACCTGATTAATCAATTAAAATCAAACAACACCAAAGTAAAAATACCAGAATTTCTTTCTTCTTTTTCTCCATTTATCATTCTTTGAGAAAGCTTTAATAAAAAATAAGACATGTTAGATTGATAAACGTTTCCTATTTGTTCTTAATCTTATATATATATATATATATATATATATATATATATTATATATATATATTTCTTAATCTTATTATATATATATATATATATATATATATATATATATATATATATATATAGGGATAGATAAATCAAACGGCCAGATATAAGCAAGCGTATACGCGCGTGTTGTGCATACGAGGGCAAGCAGATAAATAATCATCAAATTTATACATGAGGTGCAAACATAATATTGCTCAATGTGGTTAGACAGAGCAAAGATATATATTAAGTAGTGCATATACTAGTATCTACGTAAGTATTAGTATATATACTATTTAATATATATATATATATATATATATATATATATATTATATTTCAGTGTGTTTGGGTGTACAGTGAAGATCATTCGGAAAGAGTTGGAGTAGTCTAATTGTGATTACGAAGATGTTTGTAGTGATCAAATGTGATTGAGACGCTATGCCTCCATTCATCTTTCCATAGGGACTCAGACTAAACGCATCAAGTGTCTTGAGGCGGTAGTGCTGCCTTTGATCAGTAGGGTGGCTGCTGGAATAAACCAGTATCTGAGAAAAGAACTCTGCGTCATGCCACACAAGCAGAAGAACCCAGTCATGGCTGTCACAATTTCTGCGACCGCATCTCCCCTCACGTCTGGCCACCTAACTCCCTAGAATGCAACTGCCTTGATTATTTTGTGTGGGACGCAGCTGATCGAGAGACCAACAAAACTTCTTGTAACACCAAAGATGAACGGAAGGCAAGGATTATGGCAGCATTTACCAACTTAATCAAGGAGACCGTACGGAAGGCTATCCAGGGGATTCCGAAGTCGTCTGAAGGCCATGGTTGAAGTCAATGCTGATTTTATTGAATAAATTTATTCTTTCGTATTTCAAGATATTTTTGTGTAATTTTGGTAAATATATCTCAGTGTTACTTTTATTTTTGCGTAATTTAGACGACAATGTATCCATCGCACCCTGCACAGACACACACACACACACACACACACACACACACACACACACACACACACACATATATATATATATATATAAGGCAGGACGTGTGTGTGTGTGTGTAAATGCACGCCGCAATTTTCGACGGATTTGCAACAAAATTTACATGCACATGCTCCAAGTTAGCGGAAAGGCCAAGACCGACTTTGCATTTCCCAACTCCCATCAATAGTAGAAATAATCGATTTTTTCATGCTTCTACTTTTTCATGTAGTTTGCGGCCATTTTCTACTGGCCAGAGTGAGAGCCTATAGCTGGCTGTCACGAATAGGCAGGAAGATTCTATTGGCCAGCATGAGAGCCAACAGCTGACTGACACGAATGTTAACTAGCATGCTAGCATGCAAAAAAAATCGATAGCTGCATTCGTCACAAGTGGGAAAAATTTAAATCTGCATGGCACTTTACTCCAATTGGCTCATTCGCTTGCTTAAACTCAACGTTGATTCTGATTCCGCAGAATTGGGTTGGGTGTGAAAAAGTATTTGTTGTTAACATTCTTTTTTCATTCGGTTTTTCCAGTTACGAGTTCTTGTTTAAAGTTGATAGTTTTGTGTTCATTTTGTTTAGTTCTTTTTTCGTAACAGATTTAATGTTTAGTATAGAGCATAGAAAAAATTCGCAGTGTGAGATAGGCAAGAAGTAAGGCATGTAGCAACATCAGCACGGCAAATGGTAATCATTTAAAGGCAAGGAAGAGCAAAAATATTTTAAGTCCAGTGATAGCGATTGCTGTATGAGTCGTACGATTTTTGAATCAAGCACGGGCCACGCCTCGCCATGCTTCTAGTATATATATATAAATGATAAGATACATACGAGGTCTGTCCAAAAGGTAACGGAACTGTCTGTGCAGTGTCAGCTATGGGCAAAAGAGTGATAAGCGGGTTATGTTATCATCTAATATGCTATCTTGGGAGTATATAACTGTAATATTAGTTTTCTATTACCATTGCATATATATATATATATATATATATATATATATATATATATATATATATACACGATTAGGCGGTTACGTATCTTTCGATACATATATATTGTTATGAGACCTTACCCATAATAACATAATGGGCTATTCCATACGTAATAAATACTGCGGCTCAAGAGGAAGCAGGCTGTTCAGTCCGAAGTCGGGCGACCGGCTGATCGCCTGATCGGTTGAACTCTCTGCCTTCGGGCGGGGAGGAACCCGAACGAGGCTACGCCGAAGGGCGGAGTCTCTTTCGGGGAGGTAAACCGACCCTGACCTCGTTTATACGGGTTCAAAGGGCATATTTTTGGCCGAGCTCACTGGCTCGGAGATCCCACGTTAAACCGGCCTTGTGCACATGATACCCTCGTGGGGGGGGGGTGACTAAATACTGTTCAGCCCGAAGTCTGGAGTGAGGTCCGTCAGGAATCTGTCTGTCAGTCGGATCAGTCTAGTCAGAGGCAGTCCGAAACAGAGTCGCGTTCAGACAATTACTACTAACTCTGATTGTTCGTACTAACACTTTCTACTTCTCTGTATATATTCCTGTTTGTAATATATCTGTGTTATTCCATATCCGTGTTCGAGTTCTTCTTTATTGGTTCTACCTTGGACTATCACCGTGGTACAAGGAACCGGACCATAACATATATATATATTCTGAGGATTTTGTTTAAGTTTGTATTTTCCTGAATTCACATGAAAATCTGGAAATTTTATATCATATTTCAATAAAATTATACTTTCCAAAATCATCGTTTACAAATATAGTTTATGTATATGGAAAAAAAAGAAGGCATTAGTTTAAACCAGTGATACACAAACGTTTACGTATTACCGCCCCATTGCGTACCAGAAGACAAACCTAATGACCCCCCCATGTATAGCCAACTTTTGAATGGATTTTTTTGGTGCTAGTATGTTAAATAAGTATTTTCGGATTTCACAGAAAAATCGTTATATAAATGGTATACACTGTAAAGTGAAAGCAAGACACACTTCAGATACAATGTGGGGCTGTGGTGTATGCTAGGGTTCAGATGCGCCACTGACACCCCCGGGTTGCTCACTTTTTTTTTTCCTCACTGCCCTCTGGATCTTTCCACCGTAACCAAGAGTGAGGCGATAGATCCCACTTTGGGAAACAATGGTTTAAACTAATTCTATTCGTCTGTGCATTGAACAATGTTGCTATATCTCGTCTGGTGCCCCTACTGTTTATCTCGAGGTTCTTGACCAAATCTAAAGTCGGATTTTCAATGTAATCGATCCTGGCTTGGCATCTCGACTTCAGTCACTTTCTCACAGACGTGATATGCTTTACTTCTATCTTTTCTGCAAGTATTTTTATGGTAACTTCGCTTACGAGATTTTTTTCTCCTGGTACCTCAACTACACGAATTTAAACCTGATACCAATTGGCATCTAGGTCCCACGCTTTTATTGATGAAACATTTAAACGTAACCGTCACTTCTACTCCAGCAGTTTCTTTTCTTGCACTTCATAACAGTGGAACTCCCTTCCGCTTATTTTCTTCCCTGATAACTACAATCAAATGCAACGTCAATCGCGATATTTTGTTGGATTGAAACCCGTTCATCTTTTATCTTTTCCTCAATCACCCCTATGTATTGTCTTTTCTCTGACTTGTAAACCCCTGCGTACTAGTAGCACTCCCGCCTTGCTTGAGGTGAAATGCTAAAAAAAAAAGAAAGAAAGGAGGACATGCGATATTGAAGCTTAAAGAAGGTAACGACTAAAATGTATTTTCATAAATGATATATGTCTTTATAATTTATCAAGATGGTTTCCACCATTGTTTTAAACAAGAAGAGACATTACTAGATAGGCCTCCTGAACATCACTGGGCGATTTTCTTACTGCCATTATGTTTCAAAACGCAACAATCTATCAACTCTGATTGGAATATGGCAGTGTGTCATTCTCATATTTGCGTTTATTTCCTCTTTTTTTATTCTCTTTTTCTTTTCGCAGCGTCATCGACGCTTCCAAGGCCGCACACTTCCGTTTGCTGCCGGTTAGGCCAGACAATCGACCATTAAGAACTGCTACCGACTTCCGGTATCGGCGACTCTCGCCAGCTGTCCGAGATCTGTGTTCTGTACTGAGAGGTCGAGGCACTATCACATACGCCACTGGCGTCCATTCTGCAGCCGGTATATTCCCGCCGAGACTGACTAAAACGTCTTTAATGGTGGTAAAACAAAATTCACACAAACAATGGCTGCCACGTTGAAGCGTTTATCCACAGGCAATAATACCAAATGCCAATAAAGCGCTTTCTTTCAAATGACTGAAGACTGCGTGAGCTAATGGAGGACTTTATCACTGGAACCAAAACTTTATATTCATTAATTTTTCTTTTATAAGCAGAAAAAATGCTGAGAGAAGGTAATAACATTTTCTGCTTGTCATCAAATTGGCTGAAAAGCAAAACTTTACGCCTTCTTAGCCTCAAGTTGTCCACTGACATTAAGAGAAGCGACTATATCGAATCAATTGCTACGTGTACTGCAAGGAAAATTGATTCGCTGTCGTGCTAGAACATTTTTCTAGTCAGACTTCATCTTGCCCATTTATAAATTTACCATTCGTCCATGCATTGAGTACTTTCGCCATATATGATCTGGTGGTCCTGCTGTATATCTGGAGATTCTTGGGAAAATCCAAGGAAGGGTGAGTCTGCAATGTAGTCGATTCTGACCAGGCATCTCGACTTCAGTGACATTCTTACCAACATTACGTGGCTTCTGTCTTTTCTATAAATATTTTCATGTCAACTGTTCTGGTGAGTTTTTCCGCATAGTGCCCCGACTACGTGAATTTAAGCTTACTACTAGGTTGGCAATTAGGTCCCACCGTTTTACTGATGAACTAGAAGATGCCACTGACAGTTTCCTTTCTGGTATTTCCCACCTGTGGAACTTCTTCCGAATTTCTTGCTTCCCAGATAACTACAATCTTTTTAAATGCGACGTCAATTTGTCTTCTTGAGCTCTGTTCCTTCCTTAGCCTTTCCTCACCCCCCCACTATTCTCAGTCTTCTTATTCTCTTTCATTTTCACTCCTCGTATAGAAAAAAAAACTCTCTGGAATCTATCTTACATATCTATAAGTTTACCAATTCGTCTATGATTAATATATTGCTGCCACATATAACCAGGTGCCCTTGTTATTTATCTAGAGCTCCTTGATAAAATCCAAAGAGTAATCAGCAATATTATTGGCTCTGATCTGGCATCTCGGTTTCAGTCAATTTCCCGCCGCCGTAAGGTTGCTACCCTGTGCGTTTTCTATAAATACTTTCATGTTAATAATTCAGATGAGCTCTTGCTTTGTTAATTCCCCATCCCCTCTCTCGTTAGTTGGTCAGTGATCTCAATTCTCTGGTGGATGCGGGGTCCCTTTCGTTTCGGGTGTGATTTTTGTATTTCTTGTTGTGTTTCAATGAGTGTGTGTTTGAGTGAATGTGTGCGATGAATGAATGTCTTTATATTAGTAAAGTCCTGCATTGATTTCGTCCAGTCAAATGGTATTTCTGTCACATTTAAGGGTTGTTAGTTGTTATTCTTTTATCAGTAACATTATTTTATTTAGTTAAAATAGTTTTGTTTTCATATTGTAAATACTCATTGGGACTAGATTTTAAATAGTGACTTTATTGCCTTGCTAGGGTTTAAATACATTTAAAAAAATTCCCTTAAATAATTTACCTTATTTTTCTTTAAACCGAAGTAATCGGAATTTTTATATTTTCCTTTTTCTATGAATATCGATTGACTTTGGAAATGCGGTATAGTCTTCTCCTATACTTGTCGCCAACCAAAGCTAAAGAGCCCAGTGTGCCCTACTATTTTACTCATAAATGGTTTCATGATGGGCATGAGTAGGAGATGAACACAAACAGGCTCATCCTAATTTGAACTTTGCTCTTCTTTCTTTCTTTTCATGTGCCGTTTCCTTTCAGTACGTAGGCGATCATGGCTCTCCATTTCTCCCTATCCCTTGTAGCTCTCAATAAGTTTTGTCCCTCTGCCACCTTCCCCAGACCACGTTCTGTCATCCACTTGCTTAAGCCCACCAGTATATATTGCATTCCTTTCCTTTGTCTCTCTTTCCTTCTATTTGACCTGTGAGTATCAGATTCTCCAAGCCCTCCTTTCTCATTACGTGTCCCAGGTTCTTAGGCTGCCTCTTTCTGATGTTACGTATAAGCCTCCTCCTTGTTTGCATCCTCTCCAAAACCTCATCATGGATCACACGCTTGGTCCATAATATCCTTAGCATCCATACCTCTGTTGCCTGGAATCTCTTCTTCATCTTTGAGGAGACAGTCCAACATTCGCTGCCGTAAAGGAGGGGCAGATGTCACATAACAGTTCAGTATTCTTTTCTTTGTTACCAAAGAAATGCTCCTTTCTCGCAGTACTCTGCCCAGCATGGGAATGTGTCCTTGGCCATTCCAACACCTCTACGGATCTCAATGTCGCACTTACCGTCCTCTGTCAAGACGCTTCCCAGATATTTATCCTCAGCATCCACCTGTAGAACGATACCTTCGTTGCCTCGAGTCTCTTCTTCATCTTTGAGGAGACCGTCCAATATTCGCTGTCGTAAAGGAGGACAGATATCACGTAGCAGTTCAGTACTCTTTTCTTTGTTACCAAAGAAATCCTCCTGACTCATAAAACACTGCCTAAATTTTGGAAGGCGTATTTGGCCATCCCAATACATCTTCATATCGTTGCTGACATGCTCGATCCATGATATCCTCAGCATCATTCTGTAGAACCATACTTCCGTTGCCTCGAGTCTCTTCTTCATCTTTGAGGAGACAGTCCAACATTCTCTGTCGTTAATGACGACAGATGTCACGTAGCAGTTCTTTTCTACTTACGATTCCATTTACTGTGCCAATAACCGTCATTGTATTTCTGAATTACCAATTCCATAGCTGTCTACGGTCGCTTACAGACAAGTTGCCTCTCCTGCGCAACGTTACTCCACAACGTGGGTGACCATAGTTATCCACTGCCACCTTGCAACATCTTTTTGTTGTTTTGGTACTTGTTCTGCCGTCCATTTTGCCCAAACTCATCAAGTAGCTTACTCGCAGCTTCCACCTGCTTCGTATTCCTCCAATGGTTCCCCGAGCCTCCACTATACCTAAAATGTTCGCCGTCTCTTTTCTGATAGTTAGCAAGAGTTTTTTCTTCTGTAGTTCCTATTCTCTGTTAGAACTTTCTTGTTTGTCGCATGCTTTGTCCGTGGTATTCTTATCATTCGTCGGAAGAATTTCGTCACGGACACTTAGTATTTTCTTCATTTGTGATGAAAATATTGACTTCATAATTATTTCATAAGAATCCATCTCTCACTTGAAAAAGAAAATATTACTTTACAAAAATTAATTAAAGAATGAAAAAAAGAAAGGATTTCGCAGCTGAATTAGTGGCTTTTTAAAAACCATTTCACCCCAAATAAGGTGATAATACCACTAAGATGCAAACAGATTTCTGAGGGGAATAAAATGAAGATAAAGGACAATAAAAATGAGGTTCCAGAGTGACAGAAGATGGTCGATTGACGTTGAATTCAGATTTTTGAAGATTGTCGGTGAAAAGAAATCGAAAGAAGAATCCACAGGTGAGAAGTGTAGGCGGGATATCACAGGTGAGAAGTGTAGGCGGGATATCAAAGGTGTGAAGTGTAGGCGGGATATCAAAGGTGAGAAGTGTAGGCGGGATATCACAGTTGAGAAGCGTAGGCTGGATGTCAAAGGTGAGAAGTGTAGGCGGGATATCAAAGGTGAGAAGTGTAGGCGGGATATCAAAGGTGAGAAATGTAGGCGGGATACCACAGGTGAGAAGTGTAGGCGGGATATCACAGGTGAGAAGTGTAGGCGGTATATCAGAGGTGAGAAGTGCAGGCGGGATATCACAGGTGAGAAGTGCAGGCGGGATATCACAGGTGAGAAGCATAGGCGGGATATCACAGGTGAGAAACGTAGGCGGGATATCAAAGGTGGGAAGTGTAGGCGGGATATCAAAGGTGAAAAGCGTAGGCGGGATATCACATGTGAGAAGTGTAGGCGGGATATCACAGGTGAGAAGTGTAGGCGGGATATCACAGGTGAGAAGTGTAGGCGGGATATCACAGGTGAGAAGCGTAGGTGGGATATCAAAGGTGGGAAGTGCAGGCGGGATATCACATGTGAGAAGGGTAGGCGGCATATCACAGGTGAGAATTGTAGGTGGTATATCAAATGTGAGAAGTGTAGGCGGGATATCACAGCTGAGAAGTGTAGGAGGGATTAATCTTGTGCGGTGACTGTAGCATATTTTATGAAGGTCCCTAAATTAAAAAAATAAGCAGGTAAATATGAAATTACATTATTTACATTTCAAAATTCACAACGTTTCGACCGGTGTACGCTCCTGCCTTCCTCAGGTGATTAGATTTTCGAACCGAACGCTTTATTTTGTCTAGTCACTGGAACTAACCAACGTCATTATCCACTAAGCCACAGAGTTGTGAATTCGATACCACAGTAGTGGGGACCCAAATCTTCGAGAGTTGAGTAAAAGGGAGATGACTGAACACCCGGAAGAGGCATGGCACGTGAAACTAGAAATATCTATTCCAGTGGACGAAATAAAGAGTTCAGTTCGAAATTCCGTATCACCTGGAGAAGGCCGGAGCCTACAACAGCCGATACGTTGTGAATATGGCAATGAAGATAAGGGTAACAGTTCGAACAATGTAAATAATGTAAGTAATCATAATACATCTCAGAGATACAGACAGATATTCTAATCACCTGAAGAAGGCCGGATGTACAACGGCTGAAACGTTGTGAATATGGCAATGAAGATTAGCATAACAATCCGAATAATGTAAATAATATAAGTAATCATAATACCTCATCTCAAAGATATAGACAGATATGAAATTATATATTATTTAATAACATGGAGATAGAATTTATAAAAGCGGTGGCCATTTTCTTTTATTGATTACTTGGTTTAAATTCGTGTGCAAAGTCAAAATTTAGATTAGTTGAAAATTTTATTTAAGTTACACGTGCTATCAATTTTGATTATTGTTGCTGTCGGAAGTCTTCAAGTGATATGCTTTCAGTTATGTGGTAAATTAATTTGAGATTCTGTAGCGCCAGAGATCTAATGAAGGATTATCTTTAATGTCTTACAGGCTTAATACGCTTTCATTTTGTTTTATTCGTTGTATATTTAGAAACCGTTAGTTAATAGCGGATTAAAAAAAAAAGTAACAAAAATAAATAACACCTATAATTAATACCGGATTTTACGATGGGCAGTAATGGGTTAATTTAGATATTAACATTAACCTTATTGATTACACAATAACTATGTGACGGGTTGGGTGCTGAAGAAGATTTTGGTAAACATAGATAAACGTACCGTAATGACACAAAGTTTCAGAAAGACAACGTTATTATTTTAATGTCCTTCACTATTCGGCCATGTTTATTATTTTAAAAGGCGATGATTAGAATTTTAATCAAACCTAAACATATGAAAATGAATTTAAACTTTGTCCTTGATACTTGATAACACAAGTAATAAACATTGTTTATTTATTAGATTTCATATTGGAATGATTGGAAAAAAATCGGTAAATTACCAATTGATCCAAACTTTATAAAATGGTAAATATTAATGATTTTTTATAGTTGCTTCACATGTTTTAATAATTTAGTAAATGTTTATAAATTCACGAATAAAATTGTTTCATATTTCACTCTTCATAAATTTTTAACTGAAAAGTATTACATTAATGTGAATTAATTCTAATTGTACTAGTTTTTAGAATGTTGTAAATATAAAATTCATTATTGTAAAAACATTTCATAATTTAAAAAAAGTTGAATGGGCAAAATCATGACACGTTACAAAAACGGGCACAATGTGACGTCTCGTCCCGAAGACGGGCACTACGGGACTTCAGGTCACGAAGATGGGCACTACGCGACCTCACGTCCTGAAGACTGACACTAGGTGACATCACATCCCGAAGACGGGCACAAGGCAACGTCACGTCCCGACGACGGGTACTAGGCGACGTCACATCCCGGAGACGGGTGCAAGGCGACTTCCCGAAGACGGGCACTAGGCGACTTCACGTCCCGAAGACGGGCACAAGGGCGACATATTCCCGAAGACGGGCACAAGGCAAATTCGACGACGAGCACGGGCGCATCCCCGAAGACGGTGCAAGGCGACATCACGTCCTGGCAAGATGGGACGGGCACTAGGCGACATCACGTCCTGAAGATGGGCACAAGGCAACTTCCCGTCCCGAAGACGGACTCTAGGCGACTTCACGTCCCGAAGATAGGCGCAAGGCGTCTTCACGTCCCGAAGACGGGCACTAGGCGATTCCACGCCGCGAAGACGGGCACTAGGCGATAACATGTCTCGACTACTGGCGCTACGTGACCTCGCGTCCTGAAGCCTAGGACTAGACGACCTCACGTCCTGAAGACGGGCACTAGGCGACCTCAAATTTCCAAGACGGACACTAAGCGACCTCACGTTCCGAAGACGGGTACTAGGCGACCTCACGCACTGAAAACGGACACTAGGCGACCTCACGTCCCGAAGACGGGCGCTAGACAATGTGGCGTCCCGAAAACGGGCTGAATAAAAAAAGAAAAGAAAAAGATGTGACAAAAAGACAATTTTTCGATTGACACCACTAACCCCCACTTCCTAGGCAATATTTATTGTTTAAAAAAAAACCCATTAGAATTGTAATCAAACCTAAACGTATGAAAGTGAATTAATACATTTTCTTTGTTCTTGATAACTGACAACAAAAATAGTAAATATTATTTATATATTAGATTGCTTATTGGAATGTCTGGCAAAACATCGCCTAATTGTCAGTGAATAAAAAAGATGATCCTTATAGTTGGTTCACGTATTTTAATAATTGAGTGTATTTTTTATATTTATAAATAAAAAATCGTTTTCACTTTTATTTCTTTATAAATTGGTAAATTTATTGGTATATTGCATTGTATTAGTTTTAATTGTGGTTTGGTTTATTTTGTTTTACGGCATATCAACCTCAATGGGTTATTTAATGCCGATAGCATTTTTAGGATAGATTCGTATGAATAGAATATGTATTCTTTGGTTTAGATTGGTTTGGTTTATTTTGTTTTACGGCATATCAACCTCAATGGGTTATTTAATGCTGACAACATTTTTAGGATAGATTCGTATGAATAGAATATGTATTCTTTGGTTTAGATTGGTTTGGTTTATTTTGTTTTACGGCATATCAACCTCAATGGGTTATTTAATGACGACAACATTTTTAGGATAGATTCGTATGAATAGAATATGTATTCTTTGGTTTAGATTGGTTTGGTTTATTTTGTTTTACGGCATATCAACCTCAATGGGTTATTTAATGACGACAACATTTTTAGGATAGATTCGTATGAATAGAATATGTATTATTTGGTTTAGATTGGTTTGGTTTATTTTGTTTTACGGCATATCAACCTCAATGGGTTATTTAATGCTGACAACATTTTTAGGATAGATTCGTATGAATAGAATATGTATTCTTTGGTTTAGATTGGTTTGGTTTATTTTGTTTTTACGGCATATCAACCTCAATGGGTTATTTAATGACGACAACATTTTTAGGATAGATTCGTATGAATAGAATATGTATTCTTTTGGTTTAGATTGGTTTGGTTTATTTTGTTTTTTACGGCATATCAACCTCAATGGGTTATTTAATGACTGACAACATTTTTAGGATAGATTCGTATGAATAGAATATGTATTCTTTGGTTTAGATTGGTTTGGTTTATTTTGTTTTACGGCATATCAACCTTAATGGGTTATTTAATGCCGACAACATTTTTAGGATAGATTCGTATGAATAGAATATGTATTCTTTGGTTTAGATTGGTTTGGTTTATTTTGTTTTACGGCATATCAACCTCAATGGGTTATTTAATGCCGACAACATTTTTAGGATAGATTCGTATGAATAGAATATGTATTCTTTGGTTTAGTTTGATTTATTTCGTTTTACGGCATATCAACCTCAATGGGTTATTTAATGCCGACAACATTTTAAGGATAGATTCGTATGAATAGGATATGTATTCTTTGGTTTAGATTGGTTTGGCTTATTTTGTTTTACGGCATATCAAGTTCAATGGGTTATTTAATACCCACAACATTTTTAGGATAGATTCGTATGAATAGAATATGTATTCTTTGGTTTAGATTGGTTTGGCTTATTTTGTTTTACGGCATATCAACCTCAATGGGTTATTTAATGCCGACAACATTTTAGGATAGATTCGTATGAATAGAATATGTATTCTTTTGGTTTAGATTGGTTTGGTTTATTTTGTTTTACGGCATATCAACCTCAATGGGTTATTTAATGCCGATAACATTTTTAGGATAGATTCGTATGAATAGAATATGTATTCTTTGGTTTAGATTGGTTTGGTTTATTTTGTTTTTGACATATCAACCTCAATGGGTTATTTAATGCCGACAACATTTTAGGATAGATTCGTATGAATAGAATATGTATTCTTTGGTTTAGATTGGTTTGGTTTATTTTGTTTTACGGCATATCAACCTCAATGGGTTATTTAATGCCGATAACATTTTTAGGATAGATTCGTATGAATAGAATATGTATTCTTTGGTTTAGATTGGTTTGGTTTATTTTGTTTTACGGCATATCAACCTCAATGGGTTATTTAATGCCGACAACATTTTTAGGATAGATTCGTATGAATAGAATATGTATTCTTTGGTTTAGATTGGTTTGGTTTTATTTTGTTTTTACGGCATATCAACCTCAATGGGTTATTTAATGCCGACAACATTTTAGGATAGATTCGTATGAATAGAATATGTATTTTTGGTTTAGATTGGTTTGGTTTATTTTGTTTTACGGCATATCAACCTCAATGGGTTATTTAATGCCGACAACATTTTAGGATAGATTCGTATGAATAGAATATGTATTCTTTGGTTTAGATTGGTTTGGTTTATTTTGTTTTTTGGCATATCAACCTCAATGGGTTATTTAATGCTGACAACATTTTTTAGGATAGATTCGTATGAATAGAATATGTATTCTTTGGTTTAGATTGGTTTGGTTTATTTTGTTTTACGGCATATCAACCTCAATGGGTTATTTAATGCCAACAACATTTTTAGGACAGATTCGTAGGAAGAGAATATGTATTCTTTGGTTTAGATTGGTTTGGTTTATTTTGTTTTACGGCATATCAACCTCAATGGGTTATTTAATGCCGATAACATTTTTTAGGATAGATTCGTACGAATAGAATATGTATTCTTTGGTTTAGATTGGTTTGGTTTATTTTGTTTTTATATCAACCTCAATGGGTTATTTAATGCCGACAACATTTTTAGGATAGATTCGTATGAATAGAGTATGTATTCTTTGGTTTAGATTGGTTTGGTTTATTTTGTTTTACGGCATATCAACCTCAATGGGTTATTTAATGCCGACAACATTTTTAGGATAGATTCGTATGAATAGAATATGTATTCTTTGGTTTAGATTGGTTTGGTTTATTTTGTTTTACGGCATATCAACCTCAATGGGTTATTTAATGCCGACAACATTTTTAGGATAGATTCGTACGAATAGAATATGTATTCTTTGGTTTAGATTGGTTTGGTTTATTTTGTTTTACGGCTTATCAACCTTAATGGGTTATTTAATGCCGACAAAATTTTTTATTGCTGGTAATATTTGGTTTTGTTAAAATTCTGTTTCTGGTAAGATTTTTTTCAAAATTGTATTGCTGGTAATAATTTTTTCAAAAAGTATTGCTGGTAATAGTTAACTATTTGCCCATATCTGGGACCCTAACAGGCGCTGCCACCCCAGGTCAGGGTGGACCTGGTAACACCAGCAATTAAAAGGTGGTTCCACGCTCCTCAAAACCTCCTGAACAGAGGCCTTGCTTTTGGACGTAGTTTATCGTCTTACCCAGGACGCGGATGTAGTTTATCGTCTTACCCAGAATGCCCTACAAGGCGGGACTTTTTCCTCCTTCGACGGTGAGAAAACGTTCGTTGTATTATTTATAGTTTGAACACGTTCGGGATTTACGAACTTAGGATGATTCACGAGATCAATTTGGCAATAATTATCTATAAAGATAAGCCGTAGCATTCTGACCTTGTATCTTGAGATCTTTGCTAATGCCCTTGATCCGTCTGCCTGTACTCGAGTTACTTTGTAATTAATTGCGTTAACACTATTGATTTTTATTGGTAGCTAGTGAACATTAGTAAGATCATACACTGATGCTTAAAAGTGCTAGACACTCACGGTTTGTTAAGAAATTTATTTCTGTTATTGCTACAAACCTGTAAGATAAACTGGGCATATTAAAATCTATTTACACTATTTACATTGGCCAGACTATTTTCCTTGTCTTTATTGTCATATTCACAACGTTTCGGCCGTTGTACGCTCCGGGCTTCTTCAGGTGGTATACGCTGGAATTTCGAACCGTTAATTTCGTCCACGGGGTAGATCATTCTAGTTCCATGCGCCATGACTTTTCTGGATATTTCAGTTTCAGTTAATTCAACTCTGAAGGTTTTGATCACCTCTGCTCTCGCCAGGGATTGAACTCACAACACTTTCGGCCAAGTCACCGGATTACTTCAACCAACGACTTGGCTATAAGCTGGATATATTCATAACTTTAGATAAAGTTCAAAAAATTTATCTTACCGATTTGAAGTTCAACAGATATATCGATCGTCAGTATGAGATTAATCTATTGGATTTTTTAAGTGACATTTTTATATACCCTACATAAAAATGTTTATCGGTCTATAACTCTGATATGATACATTATAATTACTTACATTATTTATATTATTCGGACTGTTACTGTTATCCTCATCTTCATTGCCATATTCACAACGTTTCGGCCTCTATATCTCTGAGATAAGGTATTATGATTACTTGCATTATTTACATTATTCGGTCTGTTATCCTAATCTTCATTGCCATATTCACAACGTTTCGGCCTCTAGATCTCTGAGATGAGGTATTATGATTACTTGCATTATTTATCATTATTTCACAACGTTTCGGTCTAGTTATCCATTAACATTATTCTATTATCCTCATCTTCATTGCCATATTCACAACGTTTCGGCCTCTAGATCTCTGAGATGAGGTATTATGATTACTTGCATTATTTACATCATTCCGACTGTTATCCTCATCTTCATTGCCATATTCACAACGTTTCGGCCTCTAGATCTCTGAGATGAGGTATTTTGATTACATGCATTATTTCCATTATTCGGTCAGTTATCCTCATCTTCATTGCCATATTCACAACGTTTCGGCCTCTATATCTCTGAGATGAGGTATTATGATTACTTGCATTATTTACATTATTCGGACTATTATCCTCATCTTCATTGCCATATTCACAACTTTTCGGCCTCTATATCTCTGAGATAAGGTATTTTGATTACTTGCATTATTTACATTATTCGGACTATTATCCTCATCTTCATATTCGGACTATTATCCATATTCACAACGTTTCGGCCTCTAGATCTCTGAGATGAGGTATTATGATTACTTGCATTATTTACATTATTCGGACTATTATCCTCATCTTCATTGCCATATTCACAACGTTTCGGCCTCTAGATCTCTGAGATGAGGTATTTTGATTACTTGCATTATTTACATTATTCGGACTATTATCCTCATCTTCATTGCCATATTCACAACGTTTCGGCCTCTAGATCTCTGAGATGAGGTATTATGATGACTTGCATTATTTACATTATTCGGACTATTATCCTCATCTTCATTGCCATATTCACAACGTTTCGGCCTCTAGATCTCTGAGATGAGGTATTATCCTGATATTCACAACGTTTCGGCCTCTAGATCTCTGAGATGAGGTATTTTACTTGCATTATTATTCGGACTATTATCCTCATCTTCATTGCCATATTCACAACGTTTCGGCCTCTAGATCTCTGAGATGAGGTATTATGATTACTTGCATTATTTACATTATTCGGACTATTATCCTCATCTTCATTGCCATATTCACAACGTTTCGGCCTCTAGATCTCTTTTGAGATGAGGTATTATTCGGACTATTATGACTTGCATTATTTAACGTTTCATTATTCGGACTATTATCCTCATCTTCATTGCCATATTCACAACGTTTCGGCCTCTATATCTCTGAGATGAAGGTATTTTGATTACTTGCATTATTTACATTATTCGGACTATTATCCTCATCTTCATTATTCACAACGGATCTCTGAGATGAGGTATTATGATGACTTGCATTATTTACATTATTCGGACTATTATCCTCATCTTCATTGCCATATTCACAACGTTTCGGCCTCTAGATCTCTGAGATGAGGTATTATGATGACTTGCATTATTTACATTATTCGGACTATTATCCTCATCTTCATTGCCATATTCACAACGTTTCGGCCTCTAGATCTCTGAGATGAGGTATTTTGATTACTTGCATTATTTACATTATTCGGACTGTTGTCCTCATCTTCATTGCTATATTCACAACGTTTCGGCGTCTAGATCTCTGAGATGAGGTATTATGATTACTTGCATTATTTACATTATTCGGACTATTATCCTCATCTTCATTGCCATATTCACAACTTTTCGGCCTCTATATCTCTGAGATAAGGTATTTTGATTACTTGCATTATTTACATTATTCGGACTATTATCCTCATCTTCATTGCCATATTCACAACGTTTCGGCCTCTAGATCTCTGAGATGAGGTATTATGATTACTTGCATTATTTACATTATTCGGACTATTATCCTCATCTTCATTGCCATATTCACAACGTTTCGGCCTCTAGATCTCTGAGATGAGGTATTTTGATTACTTGCATTATTTACATTATTCGGACTGTTATCCTCATCTTCATTGCCATATTCACAACGTTTCGGCCTCTATATCTCTGAGATGAAGGTATTTTGATTACTTGCATTATTTACATTATTCGGACTATTATCCTCATCCTCATCTTCTCTGAGATAAGGTATTTTGATTACCATTATTCACAACCTTTTCACAACCTCTATATCTCTGAGATAAGGTATTTTGATTACTTGCATTATTTACATTATTCGGACTATTATCCTCATCTTCATTGCCATATTCACAACGTTTCGGCCTCTAGATCTCTGAGATGAGGTATTTTGATTACATGCATTATTTACATTATTCGGACTGTTATCCTCATCTTTATTGCCATATTCACAACATTTCGGCCTCTATATCTCTCTTTATCTGTCTTTCGCCAGCATCTAAATGGAATATTCCATTATTCATGAGGTACTGAGAGAAGAAGAAGAAGAAGAAGAAGAAGAAGAAGAAGAAGAAGAAGAAGAAGAAGAAGAAGAAGAAGAAGAAATTGTATTCAGTAATAAAGGAAGCCAACAAATTCAAAATGAAATTCCAAGTGGGTGAAGAAGTGCAAATAAACCATAATAAACCATAATACACCTACTAGAAACCTAACCATTGTCAGACGTGCCAACTTTAGGAAAAAAAGAATTCCTGACATTGAACTCGAAAACATCCGTGAAAACATCAAAAATAGATTTAGCGTTAACCTCGACGGATAAATGCCAACAACCCAGAGGAGACACATGCAGAAAAAAAATAGAAACCTGTTGAATTCCTCTGAGGTACACAAGAAAATAGAGGAAGATAATGACGACTATGTGAGAGAAACTGAGATGACAAAAAATCCGATAATATAAAAGAAATATCTTTCGAGGAAAGACCGACAATTCCAAAAGTAAGAAAGAACCGTCAAATGTAAGAAACCATCAATCTGGCTAACCAAGCAATTAGAAAAATAAGGAAGTAAACAGAAAGATCGATGAACTTGACAGAAATTAATCACCTTATAAACGCAGCTTCGGCAAAGATTGCAGAAACAAGAGTTGAAAAAGTGAAAACTCAACGTAAGCGAAAAAGAATAATGCCAGTCTGGAAAGAAAATAGAAACCGAAATAAATAAATTACGAGAAGAATTTTCACTTCTAAGTGAAGTAGAGAAGGGCTCGAAAATGAAAGAAAGAAAAAAACTGAAACGAAGCCTTGACATAAAGAATAAAACCGATGGACAAAAAGTTAAAGAAAAGCGGAAAAAACAAATTCAAGCGAAGGCACAAAGAATCAGGCGTTACGAAAAAAGAAACAGATTCTTCAAGATGCCAAGAAACTATATTGAGAACTGGGAGAAAATAAAATAGATATAAAAGACCCACGTAATATCCAAGAAGTCGAGGAGTTCTGGTGAAAGATATGGGAAAAATACAAAATGCACAATGAAAGAGCTACATGGATCAAGCAATAACAAGAACAATACACACATGTAGAGTGCCAAAAATGAACGGATATCAATATTATTGAAACAACCGCTGACATCTGTAAAACCAAAAACTGGAAAGCACCAGGAATAGACCGAATAACCAATTTTTGGATAAAAAAAACCTATCTAGCACCCACCAAGACCTCGCACGGGCATACAATGATATGACCATAAACGCAAAAAATGACTCAAATGGCTCACGTGGCAAGTAACGTAACTACTTCCCAAAACAGAACAGACGTAGAACCCGAAGAACTATAGACCCATTACCTGCCTACCAACAATGTACAAGATTCCCACTTCTAACATAATAGAGAACATACAATTTCCTTGAGAAAAACAGTTTACTTCCAGGAGAACAGAAGGAATGTAAACGAGGAAGAGATAAAAACAAGGAAAAGAAAGAACGAAATAGACTTAGATAGATAGATAGATAGATAGATAGATAGATAGATAGATAGAAAAAAAAAAGAAAGAATGAAATAGACTGAGATAGATAGATAGATAGATAGATAGATAGATAGAAAAAAAGAAAGAATGAAATAGACGGAGATAGATAGATAAGTCTGTTTATTATTTTAATCCTTTCAAGTTCACGAATTTTTGAATTTTTCGAAGCTCAAATTTGGCGAGGAAGAATGGAGAGAATTTGCGATTACATCTAGCCATTCTACCTGTAAAATGATGAGATGGAGTCTCAGAAGACAAAGAAAAGAAACTCATCGATAGCATTGATCGACTACAAAGAGGCGTTCGACAGTGTACCACATTCATGGATAGAGAAGAGTCTAAAAATATACAGAGTATGACCCACAAGGGTCAAATTCATAGCGGATAGCATGACAAACTGGAAGACTACACTAAACCTAAACTATTCAAACGGGTCTTCAATATCAAGACCAATCAATATCAAAAACGGGATCTTTCAAGGAGATTCATTGTCACCATTGCTCTTCTGTCTTGCATTAGCGCCACTCAATTGCCTACTGAAGAAAAGTAGCTACGTATACTAGTCACAGAATGGCAAACTGAATCACCTATTCAATATGGATGATCTTAAAACATTTGCCAAGGATGACAACCAGATGAAAAAAAAACCTACTCACCACTGCGAAGACATTAAGATGGAGTTCGGAATCAAAGCCACATTCAAAGGCAGTAAACTAACGAAAACTACGGATTTAGACCTTGATATCAACAAGATTAAGGAACTAAACCAAGATGGTATATACAAATACTTAGAAATTAATGAAGGAAACGGAATACAACATTCAATTATAAGGAAAAAGATCCAAAAAGAATATTATAGGAGAGTGCGTTTGATGCTAAAAGCGAACTTAATGGAACCAATAAAACGAAGGCTATCAACACCTTAGCCATACCCGTAGTAAGATACAGCTTTAAAACATTATTAAATGGAAGTTGAATGGCATTAAAAGATTGGACGCCAAGACCAGAAAAGTGCTTACCCAAATGAGGATGTACCACCCGAAATCAAATGTTGATCGTCTATACATACCAAGAGCTTTAGGAGGCCCAAGTATAACCCAACTAAAAACTAAAACAATCGGATTTGAAGCATACCTCACAAAAACCAATGGCCCTCCCCTACAAATAGTAAAACAACAAATCCATTCAATAAAGAAGCTGCACTCTTCAAGAAACAGCTTATAATACTTGAAATCTCACCAACAAAATACGAAGCGGGTACCATCTACACCAAGAAACAGAAAGCAAAACAACTTGGCCAAATAAAATCTCTATCTATAAAAGGCAGGATGTGTGTGTGTAACGAATGCACTGCCGCAATTTTCGACGGATTTGCACCAAAATTTACATGCACATGCGCAAAGTTAGCGGGAAGGCCAAGACCGACTTTGCATTTCTCTACTCCCATCGATAGTGGAAATAATCGATTTTTATATGCTTCTACGGCAGTTTCATGTAGTTTGCGGCCATTTTCTACTGGCAAGAGTGAGAGCCTATAGTTGGCTGCTATGAATAGGCAGGAAGATTCTATTGGCCAACAGCTGACTGACACAAATATTAACTAGCATGTACAAAAAATCGATAGCTGCATTCGTCAAAAATGGGAAAAATTTAAATCTGCATGGCACTTTACTCCAATTGGCTCATTCGCTTTCTTAAACTCAACGTTGATTCTGATTCCGCAGAACTGGGTTGCGTGTGAAAAAGTATTGTTGTTAACATTCTTTTTTCATTCGGTTTTTCCAATTAGAGTCCTTTTTAAAGCTGATCGTTTTGTGTTCATTTTGTTTAGTTCTTTTTTCGTAACAGATTTAATGTTTAGCATAGAGCTTAGAAAAAAATCGCAGTGTGAGATAGGCAAGAATTAAGACATGTAGCAACATCAGCACGGCAAAGGGCACTCCTTTAAAGGCAAGGAAGGGCAAAAATATTTTAAGTCAAGTGATAGCGATTGCTGTATGAGTCGTACGATTTTTGAATCAAGCACGGGCAACGCCGGGCCATGTTGCTAGTTACAAATAATTTGGAGAACAAGGCGTTGCATGGCAAATACCTAAAAAGAACGAAAGAAGCAGATGTCGACCAAGAGAAAACGCATCAATGTCTGAGGAGCACCGTGCTGAAAGTTGAGACAGAAGAGCCGAATTATTGCAGCTCAGGATGAAAGCCTCGCAAACAGATCCTATCACTGTCACAAGGATTGAACTAAACCGAAATGCAGGAACTGCGGAAAATATAATGAAATTGTCGATCATATTATCTCAGGGTATTCAGAACTAGCAAAAAATGAATATACCCACAGACATAAGAAGGTAGCGACATATATATGCACTGGAAGATATGCAAGAAGCACAAAATCGAAACCACTGAGAGATGGTATGAGCACCAACCAGACACAGTTACCCAAAATAACGATGTAACTATCCTCTGGGACATTCCAATTGAAACTGACAGGGGAATAAAAGCCAACAGACCTGATATTATCTTTAAAGACAAGAAATTCAGGAAGTGTATGCTTATTCACATAGCAGTACCATCTGAGAGAAACACCTACATTAAAATTATCGAGAAATTGTCCAAATACTAGGACCTGGAGATCGGGAATATATGGATGTTGGGAATGAAGACTGAGTCTGTACCAATGGTAATCGAATTTATGGGATTCGGGAGAAAAGGAATGGACAATTTTACTAACAGTGTCCCAGGTAACATTAGCATAGAAGTTACCTAGATCACACTACTAGGAACATACCATATACTTAGAAAAGTGCAATCAATTAAATGACAATTCTCCTATAGGGCCTAATGACCATAGTTTGGACCCGACTCTCCAGGATACAAAGCAGGAAACATAACATAGGCAAATAATAATAATAATAATAATAATTTTCTCAAAAGTACAACACATTACGAAAGGCTTTATCTATGTAAATTGTCTGTGATCTTAAGTTGCTTTATTTTTATTTTTACGAAAATGTTCAGTGAAAAATGTCATGAAACGATTTTTGACCTTAGGTCTCCGGTTGGGACCCAGAAGGGAATGTGTATACAACAGAAATCAAAGGAAATAATAATAATAATAATAATAATAATAATAATAATAATGACTTTTAAGAAAGGTAGAATTACAGAAACACCCTTAATAGATTTAGATTTTGTCACAAAGATTAGGGAACTGGAGCATGGTGAAGCTTATAAGTACCTAGGGATTAGCGAAGGAGATGGCATACAACACCCCCAAATGAAGAAAAAAATAAGAAAAGAGTACTACAGGCGTGTACGTCTGGTACTAAATACTGAGCTAAACTCAAAAAACAGGATATCAGCCATAAACACATTGGCTGTCCCTGTGGTGCAATACAGCTTTAATGTCCTTAACTGGACCACAGCTGAAATTAAGCGAATGGATGCCAAAACGAGAAAGCTTCTCACTTGCTATCGGATGCGTCATCCCAAAGCTGATGTCGATCGTCTGTATGTGCCCAGATATGAAGGACGCAGAGGATTAGTTCAACGAGAACTGTCTTACAAAACTACAACAATTGGCCTCCAAAGATATTTGGAAACTACAGAAGACTGGATGATGGTATGCGTCAAGGAACATGAAAGTAGTAAGCGTCTTTACTCCGTAATGAAAGAAGCCAATACTTCATGGCCAATACTCTGCCCGTACCAAATAAGCTGACGTAGTGCAAGGTTGAAAGCGGAAACTGAAGGTTTTATCCTTGCTGCGCAGGACCTATGTTTGCTAACTAGGAATTATCAAGCACATATACTAAAATATTGTGTCAGCCCAAAATGCAGATTCTGTGATAAATATCCAGAAACAATTGATAATCTTGTATCAGGTTGTACGGTGTTGGCACCCACTGAATATAAAACCCGACATGACAGATTGGGCCAATATCTGCACTGGAAAATCTGCAACTTCTACGGGAAGGAAACTGAAAGAAACTGGTATGAACACCACCCAGACCCAGTTACGGAGATAGGACCTGTTACAATTCTATGGGACTACACAATACACACTGACAGAACAATCAAGGCCAACCGGCCAGATATTGTTATTAAAGACCACAAACAAAAACGATGCCTCCTTATTGATATGGCAGTCCCTGCTGACTGCAATGTATCTTTGAAGATATTCAGAAAGTTGTCAAAGTACAGGGACCTTGAAATAGAAATCTCGAAAATGTGGCATATGGGAACATCAACAATCCCTGTTGTAGTTGGAGCCCTAGGACTGGTTGGAAAAGATTGCAGTAGACTAATTGAAGGGATTCCTGGAAGTCCATGTCTCAAGGAGATACAAAATATTGTTCTGACAATTACAGCCCACACCTTACGAAGGGCTTTATCTATGTAATTTAATTTTTGTTTTTTGTCTGTGGAAAGTGTCATGACGCCATTTCTAACCTTAGGTCCCTGGGCGGGACCCGGAAAAAAATGTATAAACGCCAGAAATCAAAGAAAATAATAATAATAATAATAAATTCAAAGTTGTATGATAAGTGACAGTTTCTAGAAAGTCAGGAAATGCTCCAACCATAAATCTGTTGCCATTGGTACGATTGGTATGGTGACTGACAGAATGGAGACACGGATAAAAAAAATGGTATTGATTGTCAAGTAAAATTTTGAAGAAAGAGATTCTCTTAAGAATTGCAAGAATAATCTGTGAAGGGATGAAGTCTTTGAATCAGAGGAAAATTGCATGGTACCTTAGGTTGATTATCGAGACTTGCTATCCAAGCATTAATTACCAACTATTAAGATCTTATCCAAGAAAATATTACTTCTACTAATACTACTACTACTTCTGCTACTACTACAACAACTTCTACTACTACTAATAATAATAATCATTGATCTATTGTGGCCTTTTGATGCAAAGATCAAGCAAAAGGAAGCAGAGAAAGTAACCAACAATGACCAATTGAAGTTTGAACTCAAAAGTCTTTGAAAGTTGAAGACAGAATCAAATCTGTTGTCATTGTTACGTTTGGCATGGTGACTGATAGAATGGAAAAATGGATAAAGAAAATTGGTATTGATTGTCGAGTAGAACTTTCGCTAAGAGAGATCTTCTTAGGAATAACAAGAATCATCTGTAAAGGTATGAAGTCTTTGAATCAGAGGAAAATTGAATGGTACCTAAGGTTGATTGTAGTGATCTGCTATCCATGCGTTAATTACAACGATCTTATCTGAGGAAATACTACTACTACTACTACTACTACTACTACTAGTAATAATAATAATAATTTCATACATATGCGTGTTCACAGGAGATATCTGCAGAGGGAGGCACTCACTGAGGGTTGAGTGACAGCAAGTCTCTTCAGATCTCCAGCATCAACCTCCTTATCATCGAAGTCTTCCAACAATGCCATAATCTGTACAGTCTTCAAGCCTTTCTCAGAATCCCAATTCATTCCACGTGCGCCAAATATTGTGAACTCGGCTCAAATTTTCATATTTCATTCCAGCTCATTCTCAACTCCCGAGGATGGTTCTTGTATTTTTTAAAATTTCCCTGTCCGCGATCTTTGCTGTCTTATTTCCTTCGTATTATTATTATTATTATTATTATTAGTAGTAGTAGTAGTAGTAGTAGTATGTGAGAATAAAGTCACGCCGAGGTACATTGAGGAAAGAAAAATAAATAAATAGTAAATAATATTTCAGAGTTCAGGCGGTGACGTTCGAAGTATAAAGCAGAAATAGACTTAAAAAAAAACGGAAACCCAATCCTAAACAGGAAACGAGGGAAGAAGTGTGAACCGGGCGATAGTCGAAACTATCTCCTTCTAGTGTAAAAAAAGTAATACATAAAAAATATGTAAAAGATTGAATTTAAAAAAGATAATTATATTTAAAAAAATTAAAAAAATAAATTAAATTAATTAAGTAATTTAAATAAAATCAAATTAATAAAATTAACTAAAACTATGAAAAATTAAAAAAAAAAATTTAAAAAGTAAAAAGATAGTTAACAAAATTTTGGAGTTCAGTGGAGACGTAAGAAAAATGTTATAAGATACAAGGAAACTTAACTAGTATTTTAAGTGGTAATCACTTGTTAATCCTGGAAATCATGACACCCGTACTGGGGGTGGGGGTGAGATACCTAATCATTCATATCCAACATTACGGTTATCCCCGAACACACCAACCGGAGAAGGAGCCTCATTGGGGAGTCCCAGGCAGTGCTTTGTGACACTCGCTATTTTATTAATATTTGCTTTTTCTTCCTACATTTATATATGTTACAAATTAAACTAACTCCAACTATTAAAGGTCGAAAAATTTTCACAGTATTTAACGTCATTCTAGGGTCTTTTTTTGGGGGGGTCAAATCCGTGAATTTGTTTTGCTCATTCTATATCCCGGAAATATATATATATATATATATATATATATATATATATATATATGTATATAATACATTATTTTTGATCCATTATGCTGAATGTGTTAAAAATATTCTACTTTTTAACAAGAAAAATCGCAAATTAATGTTAAAAATTGTCACAAAACATTGTTGATTTATTTAACAAGGAATGATCTATTATGACATTCGCTAATTTGTATTTAAATATATTGTATTTATTTTCAATTTTTCCAGTTGAATTGGTCACCTATATTGCATATGATGTATTATTGTAGATAATTAGGTTAGAATAAAATGTGTATTTTATATGAATACTAGCTTATGAATATTGAGATGAAGTTGAGTAGCGGCCCATATATTTGGTGGGGAACACAAAACCCGTTCACCGTTATAGAAGTTACAAATTAAACTAAGCATAACTTACTATTAAAGAATGAAAAATTTTCTTGGATTTTGACATCATTTTGGGGTCATTTTTTTGTTCAAATCTGTGAATTTGTTTTTTTATCCATAATATTGAATGTGTTAAAATTATTCAACTTTTTAATAAGAAAAAATCTCAAGATGATTTTAAAAACTGCCGCTAAAACGTTGATTTATTTAAGATGGAATGATCTATTATGACATGTCTCTCATTTGTATTTAAATACATTGTATTTATTTTCAATTTTTCTCGTCGAATTATTCACCTACATCGCATATGATCCATTATTGTACATAATTAGGTTAGAATAAAATGTGTTTTTTATATGAATACCACCTTATGAAAATTGAGATGTTGATGAGTAGGGATCCATATATAGTAGAGTGGGGGGGCGTATCATAGATTCGCGGAGGGGACATATCATAAATTCGGGGAAGGGGTATATCATGAATTGGTGGGGGCGCGAGATCTTTGTACTAGCCCTGTGTATAATGGTACTCATCGAAAAATAACAGGTTGATGCTAAAAATTGCCACAAAACATTGTTGATTTATTTAAGATGGAATCATCTATTATGATACGCAGCTACTTTGCATTTCGATACATTGGATTTATTTTCTAATAGAATTGTTCACCAATATTGCATATGACCCATTATTGTACATAATTAGGTTAGAATAAAATTTATGTTTTATATGAATACTAGCTTATGAAAATTGTTGTTGAGTAGGGGCCCTGTATCATAGATTCGGTGGCGTGCAGGAGACCTTGCGACGAACCTGCAATCACACACCACATATATCTACATATATCTATATATTTATATATTTATCTTAATTATTGTAGTTTTTTAGTTTTAACAGGACACACGCACACACGTACGCAACTGCTCTTTATATATATATATATATATATATATATATATATATATATATATATATATATATATATATAAAGAGGAAAGTGTGGATGGTCCTGCACGAGGCCTTCACCACTATAATCAAATCTCATGTGCCGGTGTCAGGATGTCGGTTCCCTGGGACTTATCGGCCTGACCCTCATACGTCGAACGCGACAGGAGAGTCGATTATTTATATATATATATATATATATATATATATATATATATATATATATATATAACCCGGATATAAGAGACCCGGATATAAGAAAAACCTGAATATAAGAGAGATTTTCTCTGGTTCCAAATTAGAGCCTGTGTTAATGTATATAAAATAGACCAAACCCGGATATAAGAGAAACCCGGATATAAGAGACTTCTTCTCTGGTCCCGACAACTCTCTTTTAGTTTTAACAGGACACACGCGCACACAACTGATCTTTATATCTTTATTTTCTTATGGATAGATGGAATGATCTATTATGACAAGTATTTAATTTGTTATCTGTCTATATTTCTGAGATGAGATATTTTGTACATTATTTACATTATTCGGACTATTGTCCTCATCTTTGTCGCCACATTTGTTACAACATTCGGCTGTTGTACGCTACGGCCTTCTTCAGGTGGTTGGAATATCGAACTGAAACCTTTATTTCGCTCCAAGGGATAGATCGTTCTAGTTCCACGTGCCATGTCTAATGGATGTCAGTTATCAGTTATCTCCTGTTAACATCCCTCTGAAAGTTCTCCACTGCCTTAACTGGGTATTGAACTCACACCCTTTCTGTCTTGTCACTGGATCTAACCAACGCCTTTATACATCCCTCGTGTGAGTTCAATACCCGGTCAAGGCAGTGGCGAAAAATATAATATAAATTTTCATAATTCACTATGCCTTTAAAACTCAGTACATTTAAAACAAGTTTCTCCAAAATTCGCTTGGGGATGAAATGGAACTAATGTTTTTAATTTAATTACAAAATTAAATTCGGAGCTTTTAACTTCCATTTTAGAAACATGGTTATTACTCTGTAGCGAAAAATATTTTAAATCAGTAAATTTATAATATATATATATATATATATATATATATATATATATATATATATATATGTGTGTGTGTGTGTGTGTCAAGTGCAATTCGTACTTGATTCGCCAATTACTCATTCGGACATGCACTTCTAGTTAAAAAAAAGAAATGACGCAACTGAAAGGGCAAACGTATATTGTTGTTGATGAGCCGTACACTTATTTTATCGCAAACCTTGGAATGTCGTAATTGTTCCCTGTTTGAGTATATCTGATCTTTCTACTGAGTCCGCCTGGTGTCTTGTTACATAGCTAATTAATCAAGCAGTGTTCAGATTAGGAGGGATTATTTGCTGGCTGGATTAGCGAACCGACATAAATAACATGAAATTAATAGAAACTTGAAGAAAATCCAATAATTCTAAATGACTATTTTCCGTGTATATTTCTGAGATGAGGTATTATGTACACTATGTACATTATTCGGACTATTGTCCTCATCTCTGTCTCCATATTTATTACAATGTTTCGGCCTTTCAGTATCTGTCTATATTTCTGAGATGAGGTATTATGTACACTATTTACATTATTCAGACTATTGTCCTCATCTTTGTTGCCATATATATTACAACGTTTCGGCCTTTCAGTATCTGTCTATATTTCTGAGATGAGGTATTATGTACACTATTTACATTATTCGGACTATTGTCCTCATCTTTGTCACCATATTTATTACAACGTTTCGGCCCTTCCGTATCTGTATATATTTCTGAGATGAGGTATTATGTACACTATTTACATTATTCAGACTGTTGTCCTCATCTTTGTCGCCATATTTATTACAACTTTTCGGCCTTTGTACGCTCCGGCCTTTTTCAGGTGGTTGGAATGTCGAACTGAACCCTTTATTTCGCTCACTGAACGTTCTTCACTGCCTTAACCAGGTATTGAACTCACTCTCTTTGGGTCCTGTCACTGGATCTAACTAACGCCTTTATTCACTGTGTCATGTGTCTTTGAGGATATTTGTGTATGGTTGGCTGGGTATTATAAACCTAATGTCTTCACCATCTTTTTTTACCAGTGCTCATATTGCAAAAATCAGGCATGACTGACCACATGTGGAGAGAAAAGGGAGATCACCGCCCTCTGTGGGATCAAGTTGAGATCATAGACAAAGAACATCATTGGAAAATTCGTAAACTGAAGGAATCAGCACATATGCTAGGCCACAAAAATTGATTTCGAGCAATTTTCTGTCGAGCCATTGATTTCGAGCAATTTACCTAGATCCATTAACGGATGTCCCTTCGATGAGGTCCCGTGCCTTGATAGGATATTGGGCATTAAACTCACACCTGACCTCAAGTGGAACTCCTATATATGATCCATCAAAAGATGCAGGCAAAATGATCATCTCCCTGTATCGCTCTAGTAAGTACCTGACCACCTAATGCTATCCACTAGCTTTAAGAGCCAAATCAGGCCGAAATTGGAGTCCTTCTGCCATATTTGGGCGGGAGCTGCCCAGATCTCACTTTCTCGTCTTAATAGAGTTTCAAAAGACTCTCCGAGTTGTTGTGGGAGAAGAATTATTTTTCCACACTCCAACCATTCTTTCACAGGCGGGGTATGGCGGTCTATCACTGCTTATCGCTCCTAACATGGAAAGTGTTTAGATGAACTGCATCTCCTTGTTCCACCAGGTCTGACTTTTACGGCTAGGACCTGCCATGCCACTTCCTGCCATGCCACTTACATTGTAGCAAACCATCCAAATTCCCACCGTACTCCATCGGCGAGAAGTTCCATTCGAACAGCTTCCCACAAACCACTGGCCTGTGGAACAGATTCCCTAGACGTTGATCTCCAGATCACTACAATCTTAACCTGTTCAGTTTTAGAGTCAACCGTTATATGTTCCCCTCCTATCAATATGAATTAACCCTTAACGTAAAACTCTACCTCGAGTGCCCTCCAGGCCTTGTACAGGGTGAACCTTACCGTTAAAAAATAAATAAAAATAAAAACTTATGTTAAGTTTCTTTTCTTGCGTTTCTCAATTGTGGAACTCTCTTCCGGCCAAAAATGGAGTACAGTTGCCATATTTGGGCAGAAGCTGCCCAGACCCTCCCCCCTTTCCAGTCTTGATAGTCCAAAAGCGTCTCTGAGTCCTTGTTGAGAAAGAATTATTTTTCCATCCTCCAACATGTCTCTCAGAGCCGGAATATAGTGAGCCTTTCACCGCTGTATTGCTACTTCCATGGAAAGTGCTCAGACAAACTACATTCCTTGGTCCTGCCAATTCTAAACCTTCACGGCTAGGACCCGCCATGCCACTTACGTACTAGGAAACCACTCAGATTCATTCCGTATTACATCAGCGA